AAAGCTCCAAATGCCAGAGCAGCGTTGTCAGTGATAATGCCTGTTGCCCTGCAGGTGAATCTCAACTGCTGGAACACCACGGACGAGATCACCAGCTGGATGGACAAGAACAACTTCGGCCGCGACGCCGACGCCTACTACAACCAGTGGAGCGTCTTCCAGGAGAAGTCCCGCCAGCTCCTCACCACCGCCAACGGCGGCAACGAGGTTCCTGGCATCCTGTGGACGTCCCACTTGACCGAGGAAGGCCGCGCCGACCAGTACCTCGACCCCACCAAGTACATCATTCAGATCTGGACGACCGGGACGGACAAGCTCATCGGGGAGCTTCTGGAGAAGAACTTCCGCGTCATCTTCTCCAACTACGACCACTGGTACCTGGACTGCGGCTTCGGGGCCTGGGTCGGCGAAGGCAACAACTGGTGCAGCCCCTACAAGGGGTGGCAGGCCGTGTACGACAACAATCCCCATGAAATTGCCGCCAACCTGACGGGAAATACCTACAGTAACAGCATCTTGGGAGGTGAAGCTGCCCTCTGGTCAGAACAGGTCGACGAAACTTCACTTGACTCAAGAGTAAGTTATTATCTACTTGAATATCAGTTCTGTGCAATAATGATGCCGATTTGAATGTACATATATGTACATTCAGATGTACAGTCCTCATATTTATATCAAATATGAAATTTGATGAGCAATATCTTTTGTGAAGCATGCTTTCCATTATTCTTTCATAAACACAGAACATACCTTAACTGAACATTAAATGTTCATTTAAAATTTATAATAGTTATTGCTCAAAAAGTCTATAAGAAACAGTTTATAAAAGATTAATATCTTCATGAGGCTGTTAAACAACAAGGCCTGTATCCTTGATCCTTTCTTATTACATCTCTATAATTTTTTTATAGAATTAATAACTTTTCCAGTCGCTTTAAAGAATCTTCAGTCGACTATATTTTGTTTTTTCCCTCTAGGCTATTGTGTAGCTTGATACAAACCGTTCCTCTCTTACAGCTGTGGCCGCGCGGATCCGCCCTTGCCGAGCGCCTCTGGACGAACCCGAGCCACAACTGGGAGCCGGCCGAGACCCGCCTGATCCACCAGCGGCAGCGTATGGTGGCGAGAGGCATCATGGCTGACCGCATCCAGCCACAGTGGTGCCACCAGAACGAAGGCCTCTGCTATCTCTAAGGATGCAAGGGGATATTCAAGCGCAGGCAAGACCTTCGTGATGAAAGAAATACAGAAAGGGAAGCATTGATAAAAAAAAGGCAAGAAACAGGCCATGTACCCTTATAGACCAAACCAAAATAAGAACCTCAGAAAGGCGGTAGAATGTGTAGATATGGATGCAGTGAGTTGTAGCTTACTAAACACCATTCACCCATCCCTCTTACTTATCACTCAGATACTGTGTTCTGTGTTTATTCGTGATCAATTGAAGAAATCTTCAGAGTAAGGGAGTGTTAGTGTTTACATTTGATATCTCATTTACTTCATTTTGAAGTTCACAACATGATTTATTCCATTTCATGTTTGCTTGTTACGGTGCACAATTAACTCGAAATGAAAGGGCATGTTCTGTGATTTGCATCAGTTGATTTTCAATAAAATTGATAAACGTTATGTTCTCTTTTATTTATGATGATCGTTTACCCAAGGGAGGACATGTTTGTAGAGGAATATATATTCTAAGCCGCGAGATGATGCGGTAGGGTGGTAATTTCCTCTCCGCCACGGCTCTGACCCCAACACCCTAGCGCAGGTACTCAACTGGAGCTGAGTCAGCCAAGGGGGATCAGGCCGGTGCGAACTCTGAGGTTTTAAAGCCAGCACTTAACACTCATCCATGTCCCCATTATTTAGTATCTTGACACAGTACATTGCTACATATAAGATTGAGAATCGATAAGAGCAGATTTGATTAAACTTGTACCAGTCGCAAGCTATGTTAGGTTAGGGTTAGTTGCATAAGACCAGCTGAAGTTGGCATTTTAGGTTTTCAAGTTTATTTATGGTGTTGATAAATCCAAGAGCTCTAACTAATATTGGATTTTAACTTTTTTTTTTTTTTTTGTCTGATTTGCGAGGCAGAGCCTCGCCCGGACTATGCCCATGAGGGGAGCCCGGCTTCCTTATCAAACTCTAATCTAAATTATGTCCCGACTGATACTACTGGAATTTGCGTCACTGTCAATTTACGT